GGGGGCGGTGCAGACAGGAACAAGACAGGCAGGTCGGTATCAGGGCCAGACGGGAGAGAAGAGCGAGTTGCTTGGTTAGTCGCATTAACATCAGCCGTACCTGGGGGGCCTTTGAAGGAGCTGCACACGGGAGCCGCTGATTCCCGCTGATCCGCCTGTCGGCTCCTGGGGCGGCGTGACGGTCAGAGTCAGGAAAGCTGCTCTGAATGTAAAATACTGGGACACAGAAGCAAAGTCACACACGCGTGTAAAATGTGCTGAAGGGCCGTTTATGGTCAGTGTGTGAGCAGCGAGCTGCTGATAGTCACTGGTGGGGGGAGGGGAGGAGGTTGAGGCCCCCCTTCACTGCATTATTTGGGGAGTGTTTTGCCTTCATAGACAGAAGCGGGCAGCCTGGCACAGAGCTGGGGGCCCCTTTCCCTGTGTGGCCCTGATTTGGGGTCTGAGTGAAGCTGGCAGTTTCCAGTACAGACACACACTGGTGCAGGTGGATGTACACGGTGTTCCTCTGGCTGGTACCCAGTGGAAATCCCAGTTAAGACGACTGCTGCCGCCAGTTCCTCTCCCAGAGAGGAGATGTGGTCACAGACGGGGCCGTCCGCCTCCAGCTGCAGTGAGACTCGCACGTGGGTCTCAGTGTCCAAAGCCCAGGCCGCCAAGCAGCTCTGCCGTCACAAACCACAGTGACGGTCGTTCGGTTTTGCCGTAGAGCTGCAGTTTGGTTCATGACGGACTCAGAGTTATAGTGACATCCATTCAGTGAGAGTCACTGGAGCAGGGGACTCAGACGCTGTCATTACTGCCCCTAGACGGGATCGCCCCTGTCACCTCTGCTGCTCCTATTCCGGCTTATCAAAGCTCCTGAAATCATCCACTGCACGTGGCAGGAGCTGCACCCCACTGGGACACGGTCATGTGACCCCTTCCCCAGCCTGCTAAGTGACGCCCTCTGCAGGCTTCATGTTAATCGTCTTCCTTATGCCCCCCATCAGCGCCTCCTATCAGCTCAGGAAAACGCGCCACAGAGAGTCGGCTCTGACGGTGAAAACGCTCCGTGGGCTGCGACAGTGACTCTGTATTCATGATGGCGGCTCGGGTGGTCGGCCAGACTGCGTGCTTGTCTGACGGCCTGATTGTTTTTTCCCCTTTAATGACCCTGCAGCCTATTAAGCAGTGATTTATACAAACATTCATTAAAACCCTTTTAGCGGTGAGCCAACACTCTCTGAGGTTAGACCCCATCAGCCTGTTCAGCGTGACGTTAGATGAGCTGCACACAGCAAATGGCTCCATGTTATAACGACTGCCGCCGTTCCGCCGTCGTGTCGCTGAGTCCGTCTCACGCTGCCTTGACTCCGCAGCTCCCGAGAGGCTGGATCTTTCAGTCTGTGGGATGTGAGCAGGTAACAGCAGGGGCTTCAGCAGTGAGCCTCACGCTGCAGCTGGAGCTGGGATCAGACCCCAAAGCCACCTGCTGTCTCCTGTTACGGTGACATTACAAGGGCGTCTTGGGGTTAACGAAGGGCATCGCATTAGGATGTAGAAAGAGAAATGCAACCAATCCGGCTGCTTGAGGTTAATAAAACTGAATTTTTTTTGAAAAAGAAACAAAACAGTACAGAACAAGGGGGGGGGAGCTAGCGCCAAAATACTAAACAAAAAAAAGGTGCCCTGGTTGGGACTCGAACACAGACCTCTCATGCGGCAGGTAAAAATTCTACCAGGGCACCAAAAACTAACGAAACGAGCAGCTCTGTAAACAGAGAACACAAGAAAAATATAAAACCTGACCTGCCTCCCTATATAAACCAAAAACAGGAAAAAAACACAACAGCTGAAAATAAGTGGCAGTCACCCCCCCCCCGCCCCCGATCCTGAGAGCGCAGTGTGCATCTGACACACCCTGGTGCACGTGAGGCACCAGCATGTTCACACCGATAACAGCATCACCTCTCCGTATACATACTGCGTTACACCACAAGCAGCCCAGCGGAGTGTTAATCAGCGACAGCGGCACTGAACAAAGCGAGAGGGGAACCTCCAACATCCTCCATGAGGCCATCAGTCCATGAGCTTTAAAAACCGGCACGTCCGGGGCAGCCAATCCGCTCGCTGCACGTAGGATGAGGTCAGGGACCCGTCACCATGCCGACCGAGGATGGGAAAGAAAAAGGGAGGAGGGGAGGAAAGAAAAAAGAAACAAACGATACGTTGTTGGATGTAACGCTGCAGTAAACAGCCGGGTGTCTTTGTCAGCAGCATCCGGTGTTTGTGTGCGGAGGTCAGATCCTGCAGCCGGAATGATCATGTGACTGTCGTGCTCGTAGCCGAGGCCCTGAACCCCAGCAGCCCGACCTGCGCCGGCCGACCCTGCACCCCCACCCCAAGCTCTCCTCGCTTGTATGTCGCTTTGGGCAAAAGCACCTCATAGATAAATGTAAAAGGGCTTTTTAATCCACACCTGCAGCCACCCGGCCAGTTTGAACACCAGCTTCTCCAGCTGTGACTGTGGTGCCCAGAGTCTGTCCAGAGGAAACTGGGGCAGCGTCTCACACGCACTGAGCGGGAAGCTGAGAGTCACAGGGCTGCTGGGCGAGTGTCTGTCAGTCAGGGGGGGGCATGGGGGTACGAGGAGGAAACCCACACAGACGGGGGGGCAGGAAGCCAGGGGCAGGTCCCAGCCCAGCGCCCCCCCCTGAGCCCCCCCCCCCCGCTGCCCTGTGTGTGAAGCTGGCAGCAGTTTGCTTCCTTCTG